TGCCTCATGGACCCATTGGTCCGTTTCTTATCTTTTTGGTTGACCGATTTCACTTGCCTCCAGCCTCAGTGTACTTTTACTGCAGATACTACTTCTCAATTCTTCATTAGCACGTACAAAGTCGCCTTATATTCAGAGCGCCTATGCTCTGATTATAATGCCTGCAGATATTAGGCATCATCTCCTAGATTAAGCCCTTGTACCCTGAGCAAACTGTGGATATCCATCTCTGGTCGGCTTCTGCATCTCAAATGGATAATTAGTTCATTTGATCATAATGCCCGATTTCTGTGAGCCAATTCCTCTCCCTAGTCACGTGAAATGTCGGCCAACCAAGTTGTAGTTGCTTATTCAAGCTGAAAAAAGGCCACACCATTCTGGCCTTCATACCTTTGTTAAATAAGTTGTTACAAAGTACAAATTTTGTAATTTATCGAGATTAAGGGCAGGCGCAAGTTTGCCAATCAATTGAATACAGAATTCCACAAGGAATTTTGTGAATTAAAAGAGGTTTTCTTTGCCTGAAAATGATGATTATGTAACGGCATTTGTGCAATTTGGCTTGTGCGTCTACTATTAGAATTCCATATTCTGCTTTTTCATAACCTATAGCACTCTGATAACATTGGCTTTAATGGAATTTCATACTAACTTGTGTAGGAGAATAACAAATGGTTGTTTTTAAATGCGCTTAGATACCGAGGAAATCTCTCAGCCAAATCTTAATTATGGGTTTCGTGTGCGCCCTGGAGCCGCCGAGATTCAGACACGCAATTCAAGTGACGTTCAGATGTCCATTTTGCTTGGTCGAGACAGCCAACATCCCTTGACCGAAGTGGTTAGCAGCGAACTCGATAAGTCGACTGCATCTCTTCGTACCCGTCTGCGCACAGCAGATGCTGAGGCGTGCAAAGCGCGCCAGTGGCGGGGCTGCATGGAAGAGCACATCGGACAGAATGTCGAGACTACTGGCATGAAGTATCATGAAGGTCCGAAGGTGAGTTAGCTCATCCTTACAAGAGGCGCTGTGGAATTAGATGTTGCCAAGCAATGGGAGAGCAAGAGCTATGACTCAACGACCATGGCCCTTCACTCTGCCAAGTCCCATTAGCTCCATCCAAGGAACTAGAATAAACTGAATAACGTAAATAAGAACTTAGTCGCACGAGGTCGTATTAAGTCATTTAAACCGTGATAAGAACGTTTTTCAGTGAAGGTTTAGTCATCACAGATCGCTTAGGGCACTTTAAGGAGTAATCGTTGAGTTTGTCTACAATCAGATGAGTAGGCCTCACTTAGCCTTGCCTCATATGAGGCTATCCCATCCAGCATGGACGCCTGTCTCGAGTTCGTCCACGTTTCATCCGAACTTCCGGCAGGACTTGTTATTAGATCATATCATGGCAACGTTGTCAGTCTAATCCACTTCACAGCCCCAGATGCAAATGGAATACGGGGCAGATGCGACACTTAGGGAAAGCCAGGCCTCCCCAAACCCATATTTATAGTGGGATTGTCGATTCAGCAAACATGTGTTCGCTATTCTAATCGATTTTAGTAGTATTAAAGGCTATAAACAATTCTTGATATTCTCGAAAACTACTTACATCTACAAAAGAGTTTTTACTAAGAATGGAATGAGTAGGTCTCACAATGTCATTTAATTTCACTTGGCCTTGTATCCCCAACATTTTCCTCATCTTAGATAGACTGCTGATTTCACTTTGCTCAGGTTTCATTAGTATCCACATCGGAACTCAAAACCTGATCGTGAGCATCGTAATTACGGTAACTACTCCGCTACATACCCTCTGAAGCCTGGATACCTTCTAAATCGCATTTATAGGGGGATTATATATGAGGAAAACATAATCATTCGATTATTATTGACAAAGTTACTTATTTTTAATGTGGATATGTTGTTCAACTATAAGTTTTCATTAAAGTCTCGAAAAATATTTACTCCGAAAATGGATATTACGAGAAGCCAAGGCGTGATTTTAACAATTTAAACAATCATCTGAGTTAGATTATTATAAGGATGGGGCCTTAATTCTTTGCTTTAGAGTCCGTACAGCAGGTCAGCCCCGTTAACGAGCCTTGTGTGTAGAGTCGACTGGAGACAGCCTTGTCGATTCAAAATGAAAGTAAACATCATATTTGGATATGTAACGACCTCTCAACCAAGCTGCTTGCCTAAATTTATCTATGAGTTTATTGGTTTTAATTTAATTCTCTTTATTAAAGGACATCCTAGAATAAAGCAAATATTTTGACACTGGAATTATAAATGACATCTCTTATCCTCAGATTACCCAAGTCCGGCATTACATATATCTCTAAACATTTTGAGGTTATTTATTTTTTGACGAAGGAAATAATTTTTAACCTTTCGTCCGTCCTTAATTATAGTTTACCTTGAATTCTTTGGCTATATTCTGGTGAAATCAACCCTGTTTTAATGGGTTAATCAACTCTTTCTACTTTCTCCCAATAGGCGCGAGGTCTGACCTCAGAATTGGCGCGCTCAGTTGCAAATCGCTCAAAAGGAGAGTCGATGCGTCAACTACTGTCGTTCGAGCAGAAGGGTTGCAAAAGATGGTGAAAAATGGTTATGCAATTAGCTGATCAGCATGCAACGGGAGCTGCTCAACGAATAGTTACACTGTAGTTTGAAGGCTCATGTAGGCCTTATGTGTTTAAGAAAATAGCTCATAGCTATTGTATTAATTTGTGTCCTCGTGTCTGCCGCCGAATCTTTGTAATCTTTTGATGTGTGTACTCTGCTATGAAGTTATGAGTAGAATAGCATGAGGAATAGCATGAGGAATAGCTGGTTTTCAAGGAATAAATTGATAAATTAATGGAGGTCGACTATTCATTTCGAATGAGATTTTTCGGAAGCCTTTTATTATTTTGTCCATCTCATCACTAAGGAGGAATGCATTGGAGCGTAGGTCATTGGAATATGCGAAGAACTTCTCGGCTCACCGCCCTTCGGATTTAATGAAACCGTGTTGAGCTTTCCTCTGTGGTATTGTGCATTTTGTCTATTCTGTGCCCAATTCATATAATATATGAAGCCTAAAACGACGCAATATAATGCAAACCTTTCTCTTGTTCAGTGGTTCTTTCTTATCTCTCATTTAAGCCAATTAAACAGCCATAATTAGTGCCCGCCTAATTTTTTACACTCGTTCCTTCTAGTCAAGATGTTGCCTATTTTGTATATTTCTTCTTATTAGCTAAGCTTAGGCTTGGATGCAAAGTCACTGTAGCCTGCAAAACGCTTTATTTTGAACTATTCTATTTCATAGCTTGTATTAACCATTTGTTCTGCCAGTGCAGATTTTTGGATTCACAGCTCTTTCCATTCGGCATTGGGTTCATATAATCTCTTATGAATGGATCGGCAGGTCCTCCCCAGATTAGCAAAAATCCTTTTAGCAATTATATTGAGCTAAATATCTTTCTGCTCAATAAAATAATCATAAAATTAATCTTGACGTCCTCTTCTACCATCATAGTACTTTTAATTATTCTATTTAATCAAACAGTGAAGTATTTACCTATATATCTAAATAATTATTTCGAAACTAAGACTCCTTCTAGACTTCTATAAACTTCCAATTAAGCCATTTAGTTATTAGCTAAAATCTGAGCCAAATTCGATTCCTTAACTAAATTTCTTGGTATATGAAACCTTATCATTGAACATAAAAACATTTACTATTCCCAATAGAATTTGTCAATCTAACCTTTTTCCTGATAGGATCTCAGTATGCTGATTTAACGTTAACTCTAAGGCTTGTGTCGCCTCTAATTTGGCCTTAAGCCTTCTACTAGTTTCTTAATTAAAGCATTATATGTTTTATAGTCATGTATTACCTAAATCAATTTCTGTCTGAATAATTTTTCTTATGGTGCTGATAACACTTATATTCTTAAAGGATACTTCTACATGGTTACTTGTCAAAGGAACCTATATGTTAAACTTAAAAGTTCTACAACCATTTCTTACCCAAAGTTCCTACTGCTTGGTGAAGCAAAGTTAATGAATTTGGATGGATTATGGCATTGAATAATTAAATTGTCTAAAACACCTCTGGCTGTTTTCACTGAGGAGATCCTATCAAAGGACGTTACATTTGTTCTGCCAAGTAGTATGCAGATACACGATTATAATTAAGTACTAATCGTAAGGCCTAAAGGCGACACAAGCTTTAGAATTTACATAATATCTGCACCTTTAGATCACAATAGGTAAAAGGTTACGCAAACATACAATCCTGACCA